ATAAGCTATATATATATTGCTAATGTGAAGTTATGTTTTTAATTTTTTTCAAAGTTTATAATGACAGTGAATCATATCATAAAAGAGAAATTTGTTGTGTTAATAATATGTTTCCTTAACCCAGAACTTCATCACAGTGCATTGTGGGAGATTATTAACCAGTACAATGAAACTAGAATGAAAACTAGACGGTCAAAAATCAAGTGACGAAATAAGTCGACCAATTGTGTGATTACCATGGAATTGGTCTCCTATTTTGAAAATTCCGGGTTCGAATTCTACTTCGGACGTGTGTGTAATTTAGCTCTCTGTTCCATCTGTTCCTCTTGTGTTTGTTTGGGGGACATTCATCCACCTATTTGGTACCTACAATAAAGTGATTATTAGATACATTAGGCACTATTTCTTGGAAAAAAGTAAAATGATGAAATATTTCTTTAATTTTGGAGATATTTAAAAAAAATAATAATAATAAGTTAGCTTCATTTTTATTTAAATGAGTTTTTCCTAAATGCGCATTTAAAAAACATGTACATTTTTCCAAACCCTTATATCATGCTATATAATTTTTTTTTTTGCATAGGGAGAAAAAATAAGCATTTTGATGCTTAATTTTCAAAGAGCGTGTTCGAAACAATGCTTATTTTCTTAAAGTACTTGAAAGCCGTTTATTTTTTGAAAACGCTCACTTAATTCTAATTAATATTAAAATGCAAAAAAAAAAATTTTTTTTTCGGAAGAAAACAAAGAAAATCCAAATTGGTTAGTTTGAATTTTTTTCTTATAGTTTTCACAATTTTTGTAATGAATAAAGTCGGAAGATACTTAAGATTTCTAGTGCTCTAAAGAATACGCACATGTAGCAGAGAATCAATTTTAGGTAAAAAAATATGAATATTTCACCATTAAATTTTACTAAGCATTCCTGAAATTTACGTAAAACTGAAACTTCGTATTATTGAACGAAATGGATACCCCAAAACGCAATATTCACATAAAATTATATTAAGCAAATTCATTTATTTTGGAAATATTTTATCTACCTCTTCATACTAGGTAAAAGTGATTACGTTATTCTTACATACTATTTTAATGGTAAATTTGCTTCGTCAATAAAACGTAAAATACACATAAGCATTTTTACTAAATCTAAATAGTAAATTCGACATATAACACGCGACATTTAGAAACAACATACATACAACATATAAAAATATTCTTACCGAAATAAAAGGGTAAATTTATTTCGTCAACATTGAGTAGAATATACGGAAGCTTTTTACCAAAAGCAAAATGGTGAAATATACTCTCTTAAAATGAACGAGTGAAAATAACTCAACTTGAGTGCTGTTTAAGTCTTTCGTCTAGATAAAACCGGCCTTCTCATCTTGAGTTAAAATCACACAAGTGAAAGAGTTATATGGAAATAGCTCAATTTGAGTGAAAAAAATTCACTCAAACTTGAGTTATTTTCACTCGTGTTAGAGCGATTTTCGGTATTTCAGTTTGTAAATTGCAGTCAAAATTTTTACTGTTAATATTCGAAATTTTTGCATTTAGTGGTGCCATCTAACGTAAGCGATAGTAAATACTATAGTTTTCGTTTTAAAAAAATTCCTTTTGAAAGAAAGCCTTAGATAGGAATTTTTTTTTATCGTAACGTTTGTTGAATTTAAATATCGAATTAGATAATATAGTACTGGTGAAAGTTTTCGCTGTGAGCATATCGACAATGTGTATCCTGGGATTCAAACTGGCTTCCCGTCCGTCGTGAGATTGACTCTATCTCGGCTACAGTCCTGTGTCAAGACGGCTACAAAGAACTAATTAGTTTCATGAGTTGTTGTTGTTAATTTACGTCGCACTAGAGCTGCACAATGGGCTATTGGAGACGATTAGTTTCATGAGCTGGGTCTTGCTGGCGAAGATAAAGTTTTAATTTGTTAAATCAAATAAGGTGAAAGCACAGTTAAAAAAAAATTTCAGAGTTAACAGTTTGAATAGCAGCATTTTGTGGTTATCGAATTATTTTGATTGTATACGGTAAAGCAACAATTAAATAAATTATTACTTAAGAGGTTTTTTTAATGAAAAATTCCTAACCACTGTAGATTTGAGTTTTTTTTTTCTTTCCCTAAGTTACGTCATTTTTCTTTGAAGTTTAATTTTTAAAAGTAAGGAGCTCTAAGCAAATTTTTAAAGTAAGCAGTTTTATAAATATTGTGCTCATTTAGGTTCAATTGAAAATACCATGAGTTATTTTTTTTCGAACAAATTTATTCGTTTAATTTATAAAGCTTTATTTTCAAGCAGTAACAAAGGTATATTGTTTTAAATTGCCTAAATTTTTTTAAGACAAATTTCGGAAACTAAGTGAAATTAATAAATTTTTGAAGAAGACGCTAGAAGCTAAAAAATCTGGATTAAATACCCTTTTTCAAACTCAATTTTGCAAACTCTTTTGATATAAATTTGTTTAAAGTCCAATCTATATATTTGTTTTACTTAGAAAAAAATAAGTATAATTTTTGTTCTGCAATAATCCTAGCTTAGTATGAATTCGAATAAAAAAATTAACTAATTAACATTAACTACTTGACTTTACTTTAATATTGTTTTTACCATAAACTTTGCTCAAACATAATTTTCGTAAGTCAAAAAGAAATAAATAATAAAAATTAATGAAAACGACATTTTTAATAAAATTACTAAAATACAGAAATATTTAAATACCTAATTTCAGGCATACTTTAAACTAATTAAATTGTATCACTTCTGAATTATAAATAATTACAATTAAATCAAGTATGAATTTTATGAATTTTAACTATTATGAATATAGATAGTGTACGTCATTTCCGTTATCAATATATATGTTTAGAATTGTTACCTAATTGTAAGAAATTAATATATAATCAAAAAGAAAAAACATTATAAAAATTTAATATACCAGCCAGGAAAGCAAGATTGAAGACATCAAACTTTTTCAATTTTATAACAATGCAAAGAAGAAAAAAAAGTAAAGAATTCAAAAATCAACTCTGGAGAAATAAGCTCGCCTCTCTATGCACTACTGACCAATCAATATGGAAAATGGCCAAAACTTTCAGGACCGAACCACAAATAAACAGACCCATCAAAGGACCGACCACACTCATCTATGACCCTAAAGAAAAAGCCGATATATTTGCCGATTCATTACAAACCCAGTTCTCACCTAATACAAACGCAGATATGAACCACCATAATACAATAGTTGATGCAGTAAACAAATTTCACGAAGAACATCCTATCAACGAATCTTGAACCAACGGATAATAACGAAATCCTAAATACTATTCGCAGACTAAAAAACAGAAAAGCCCCAGGAGAGGAAGGAATAACAAATCTGATGATAAAACTACTACCACATAACTATATTAGCAGAATTACAAATATCATAAACAGCTGGCTCACACTCAACTATTATCCCACAATATGGAAAAATGCAATAGTCATCCTATTTCTCAAGAAAAACAAAAACCCAAGCTGCCCTGAAAGCTACCGTCCGATAAGCTTTTTAAACATAATAGGAAAAATCTTCAAAAAAATAATCTACAATAGAATTAAACCTCACTTAAATATACTACCAGACGAACAATATGGATTCAGAGAAAAATTAGACACAACCAAACAGCTACTTAGAATAATTGATTATACAGGAAGAGCACTAATAAATAAAGAGGCCATAATATTTCTTTTGATAGACATCTCCAAAGCCTTTGACAAGGTCTGGCATACTGGCATAACATATACACTAATGCAGCTCAACTTCCCCCCAGGCATTATAAAACTACTCTCCTGCTACCTGAACAATAGAACCTTCCAAGTCAGCCTTCAAAACCTGAAATCATCAAAAAGAAACATCTCAGCGGGTGTCCCTCAGGGCAGCATACTGGGTCCGATCCTCTACATCCTTTATACATACGACTTCCCAATAAACAAAGACGACTACAATAGCATCACAGCATACTACGCAGACGACACAGAAATAATTATCAAATCACGAAACCCAAATCTAGCACTCATCAAACTACAGGATCAACTAATTGAAATAGAAAACTGGTGCCTAAAATGGAAAACAGCTGTAAATGCAGATAAATCACAAATCCTAATAATACAGAAAAGAAGAAAAAGAATCCAGCAAAACTGCCAACCGAAATTATTTAACACCCCAATACCAATAGTTAAAAAAGCGACTTATCTCGGACTAATAATAAATAATAAACTCTCCTGGGCAGACCACGTCAAACACATCACAGAGAAAGCAATAGCAGCAACAAATATCATCCAACCACTGATCTGTAATCCAAATGTTTCCCTACTAAACCAAAAACTACTATATACCAGTGTGGTGATAGGTTCGTCGCTCATCGTAAAATCAAGTTTATTTCATATTGTTATCTGTTTGTCTTTAATCAATTGTGTTTTTACTTATTTTTGAAGTGAACTGAAATAAGAGTTCTGACGTCATCATATTAGAATTGTATAAATACCAGCACGCACATGACAGCCTGTCAGTAATTTCTCCCATCACTTGCCGTGATGATGTTCTTGTAATTCAAACCAACTTGTATATAAATGTAAATATGTTAAATAAAATATTAGTATCTCAAAGGAGCTATCTTCGCTTACCTCACCAGCATGATAAGACCAATATTAACATACGCATCTCCTGCCTGGGCTACAATACCAGACCACCTCATGAAAAAACTCAACCAGTGCCAAAATAAAATCCTAAGAAAAATCACCCGCGCCCGTTGGTTCATTAGAAACAAAAATATCCACATCGACTTCAAAATTCCACCTCTATCCGAATTCATCAATAAACTAAACGCAGATTTTTACAGAAAAGCAGAAGAATGCAAAGCAGCAAACTTTAATCAAATCCTCTCATATGAAAATTACAGCAAAGATTCTTACCTATCTGTCGCAGCTTTTTACACTTCAGACGCATCTTTTCATCACCATCAACGAAAATAAAAACAAGCAACCATAGCCGAACGGATAGAACACCCGACTACAACCCTATAGATCACAGGCTCTACCCCAGTTGACGACACTTTTTCCAAACAGCTTCAGAATTATCCATCCTTCCAAAATTACACCAGATCATCAGAATCATCACAGTGAATAAATCATCGACCTCAGCAAAAATCACCAACGTTCTTAATGCATCCTGTACTTCATCAACTTTGGTCATCCTGCAGCGCATCCAAATCATCTGTGAATAAAAATCAAAAATATGAACTATGAACTCAATAGACTTTAAAAAACCTAAAATAATAAAATATACTGTATAAAATAATAGAAATTTCCTCCAACAGAATCCATCACTATGTAAATAAAAATCACAATCAGAATTTCATACAATGTAAATAATTTCAATTTTAATATTTATGTTATTTTTCCTTTTTTTTGTTATTGCATACCAGAATGTTGCTAACTCAAAATGTTTTTTACACACTGTACAAATTCATGATGTATGGGTTAGGGGCCGCAGCGCGGCCCAGGCACCCAATTTTTTGATAATAAACGCAAAAACAATGCAAAGTAACTGCAGTTTTTCTGCAGATTCATCAGAAAGTATACTTCTGAAACAATGACTGCATAATTACTTCAAATTTACTGCAGAATGACCTAGGATTTAAAGTTTCAGTTTTTTCTAAACTTACGATTTTAAAGTGACCTCACTTAAACTACAGTAATTTTGTAGACAATAGCTAAAAGTTTTTTCGAAATAAATTACTTCGCATTAGCTGCAAAATAACTGCAGTGTTTTTACAGTTAAGATTGCACTACAGAAATATTGCAGTTAACTCTAGAAAAACTACGAAATTACTTCAGTTCTGTAGAATAACTGCAGTTTATTTTCAACTGGGATATAGGTATATTCAAATTGAACTATATCTCATAATAAATATTACTTTTAATTTTGCTCCTATTTTTTTACTATTAATCTATAACTATTGTAAAATTCTAATTTATTTGCATTTTCAAATGCTTTAATTAGCATTGTACTTTTAATTAAATATTAATTCTGCATTTTCAATTTTGCCTCGAAAATTGAATTTGAAGAAAAGTGGTAAGAACTTTTATGCTAGCAACAAAAGAAAAATAGTTTGTATAATGTGATAAATACTTTATGAAATAAGAAGATTGTATTAATTCTGAATTCCAATTAAATAAAAGCTAAAAACAGGATAAAAACAGAAAAATTCAAAATGCTGCTTAATTTTTTTAAAATATAATATTTTCCACTTTTTCTTTGAATGATATATTTATAATAAAATACATTGAGCATCTGAAGATTTTGATTTGAATGAATGGATGTTGCAAATGTGAACTTTCATAAATTAAAGACAGTCATCAACTTTATTAATAGAAAGCAATTTAAATAACAGCAATTATAGACTGTATGAACCATAATTTCGTAAATATCTTTTATAAAAGAAGTATAGAATG